ATCTTCTGGGACAAAGAGGATGAACAATTGAAGAAAAAACAAAAAAAATGATATCTTCAGACATCTTGTAGAACTGCAGACTTCTCCAGCAACCCTCACTTTCCCGCTCATCTTCAGTCTCTTGAAGACGCGCCCGCCCCCACCACCCGGTGTCGGGGAAGCCATTAACCTACCACCTGACTGGCGCCGCCTTCGGCGGCGACCTAGCGCCGCTTCAACTTCACCTTGGGCAAGGGCGCCGGACTGCTGTAAGGCCACCAATCCAGCACCTGCACACACCGGCGTTGATTGGGCTGTCCCGGACGGGGAGACGCGGGAGATTCTTGGACGGTGCAGAGATGTTTGGGTTTGATCAAGTGATAATTGCAGATCCTAATTGATCTCATGGCCTGAGACGTCGGAATCCGGCTGCCACCTTTGATGAATCCTGTTGATGTTCAACCCCATCTTTGCCAGAGTCCCTTCATCTCAGATCCCCGTCCCAAACGGAAACCGGTTTCCGGCCTGCTTGGCGCACACCGCCGGTTGCATCTCTTCTCGACTGGTGGGACATTTCCATGCCTGGTGTCAGGTTTGGTTCAACAGGTTGGCCCAAGAAATTCAAGCAATGTGGGTGAACCAAATAGAGATTCTGTGCCTAGATATTCTGGGTGATATGTTCGGGGATTCGGACATTTCTGCCCCTAGAGCTCAACACACATGTTTCCTTACTAGGACCCCTCCAAGCTTAGTGCTGTTTCTTTTTCCTAAGAGCGTGGTTCTTCCACCCTCTCAGAAATCGATCGAAATTGGTCCTCGCCAGGTCCTCAGGATGGAGATTCCCACTTGCAACACACTCTGACAACAGTACCCACATGCGCATGCGCAGGCGCGGCAGGCAGCGCCTCGGTCCTCATTTCCTTAGGACGGTCATCGTCTCGTCTCTCGTCGATCCAGGAGACTCCGAGCCGACCGGACGACTCGTGCTCGACCATTGATCTCTGACCGGCAGCGAGTCCGCGAGACTCTACACAGCGCAGTGTAAAGCCTTCGACCACGACGCTTTGGTGTAAAATCCTTCGTTGATTCGGTCAACCTATAAAAATGTATAAAAATGAATGGTGGGCCAGGAAGCCTAGGGAAAATGCTACGTGAATTCCTGCGATCAGGCCATAGGTCCAAGACCGTGGTCTCACTCATTTCCACGCGATGCTCGCGGGGGTGCATGTGTTCTGGCCGAACTGGGACGATCAGAGGTTGTGGCTCGGCGCAACAAGGGAACCGCGCCGTGGATGACGAATGCGGTGCGTTGGGCCGCAGCTGATCTTAAAGACTGTATTCCAGTTTAGAAAGCAAATCATATACTTAGATGTGCATGCGTTTTAATGTTATGTTTGTAAAAGCGTGCAACCTGAGTCTCTGAAGACAGAGATGGTGGCGCTCGCTATAATGGAAGAAGTTCAGGTCGTTGGTATGGAATGGCGGGTGACCATCCGAAGCAGAAACTTGGAAAGCTCGTGTTGTGTATGCCATGCCCGAGTGGCTCAAGTTGGGACTGGCTGACAGCTGAAGAATCATCCATGAAATCACCCCCCCTGGATTCAGAATGGTGAAAGACATCTCCAGTCCTGAGAGATTTGTTTCATCCGCCATCTAGATGAGGTTTGTTGCCAAAAAGGATCGGGTGGCATCATCCCCTCTTTCATCCTGCTTCCACGCCTTCATACTGAGGTCCATGCGGATTTGCGCGTATGCTCCTGGCCCTGCCTGGCGCGTCCAAAACGTGCTCAAAAAAGCAACAAAAAAAGGCGGAGATGCGACGTGAACACACGAGGAGGCAAAGAGCACCAGAATGAAGCATCCAAAACCTCTACTACAAGGTTCTTAGAGAAGTGCAAAAGATAGGATCAGCAGCGTCCCATTTTCCCATACTTGGTGGTGTAGGATTTTCCCTCGACCATCAGCAGTCCAGTTGAAACCCGTCACCAAGTTCACTCTGTCAGGTTGGTTTCCCTTCGCAGGCCTCACTTCCACCAACCCCCGGACGTGCCAAGACCAAAACAGGCAAATGTGCGGTGTCATTCACGTTCATTTGGCTTGATGGGTCAAAGAAATACAAGTTGTTCCCCAAAGCAGGTCTTCCTCTGCCCCTTTCCTAGAAAGAGTTCTATAGAGTTCTCCGTCTCCCAAATCCAAGCACACACTCCTGACTCTACCTTCCCCACCAAGAGCTGGCCTTAGGAAGGTGAAGTCTCTTTTGCCACCACACCTTCACCCCCTTCAACACCTTCAACCCCCCCTTCAACCCCTCAAGCATTTCAGCTCCAGTGGGCCTTACCCAGGGACCATCCAGGGAGGACCTTCCTTTGGTCGAGATGGAGCCACCACCTCGCCGCGGCCCCATCGAGCCATCGGACGATCCCCTCGTGCCCATCGTGGGAAGGACAACGGTCAGATCGGCGTCAGATCGGTCTCTACCAGCACCGAAACCCAACGGCGTCAGATCCAGCATGGAGGCTTCGGTTTCGGGCCCTGGTGGCAGGGTTTCGGTGACCTGGCAGAGGTGCTGGTGCTGGTAGTCGGTCCTACAGTTGCCATCAGTCCGCCCTCCGAAGTGAGTGATTTCCAGTGGTCAAAAGGGCCCGGTGGGTTGGACCTGCCAGAGGGACCGAGGCTGACCGTCGGTTTCTGTTCACTCTCCCAGTGCCATGAACCAGAGCGCCCTAGATGGAAACATCAGCCAGTAACCAAGAGCCACGTCCTGGTCCTTCTCGGCCACCATCCTCTGAGTTTGCCACGGGGCCGGAACACGAGGACGGTTTTCGCCTGAGAAGGGAGCGCGAAGCTGGAGCTCATCCTTTGAGCCTTGGGGATGCATCTCAAAACTCCCTTGGCCTTTAGCCAGATGTATCTCAAAGCGTTCCTTTTACATACAACTCGGTGGCATCTCAGGATGTGGTGTCTCTGGATGTTTTGGGAGGATGCCCTTTCTTGCCCTTCCTTTCCCTTCGATTGGAACACCTCAATGGAGCCACCTCACGAGGGCTGACGACCTCAAGGTCGTTGATGACGGAAGAAATCCAAGACTTAGACCTTTAAAAAGCACCGGCTCTTCGAGGCTCTTCGAGTGACCTAGCACTACTGTTAGAGGTCATGAACTTCCATGGTTCATGGCAGAACTTCAAGCAGCTTAGAGGCGTGCGCCAGATGATCCTTCCACCCGACGCAGAAAAAGGTTCATCTCGCCTCGAGAGAAGTGAGGCCCATGCCTGCCATGATGGAAGGCGCCTTGGAAGGGCCAAAAAGGACACGCGGCCACGCTGCAAATGGTGTCCAAAACCACTGAGCAGAAAGCCCCGATCTGTTTCATGGAAAAAAGACACTGCCAATTCAATGGTGGAATTCTGACAGGTGGCGACTCTATTTATAGGTCTTCACACCCACCCACACCAGCACCAGCACCAGCACTAGCACCAGCACCAGCACCCACCACACCCGTCCTTTCTCACCCATGCGCTGGGCCAGAGCACCCATGGCTTCTGCGGCTGTCGCCACGGAGGGCTGCTCCTGCGGGCGCTGGACAGCGTCCGTCGGGCCCCCGTGGTGCTTTGCTTTCCGGTCACGTGAAGAGAGTCCTCTTTATATACGGGATTGTTAAAGCTGCAACCATGGTTTGGTGGGTGAGGTTTTGAGATGTTCTCACCCACTGCCATTTAGGCCCAAAGGAGTGACACGAACGAAAAGAGAGCGATGGTTTACCAGAGCTGTTGTGTAGACATTTGGCCTCAGTACTGGCAGCATCTGGCAGACTAAATTCATCTAAATTCAAACAATGAAGCTGTTTGATGCCCGCTGACACCAGCGCGTTCGGCCTTCGCTTTTCGGCACACGTGCACCAGAGAAGCAAACGACTCATCCCTGGCACCGGTCTATTACAGTGCTCAGCTTCTGCTGGACTCCGCGCGCAGGCACAGCGGGAATCACGCTACTGGAGCCACGGCCGGTTCCAGTGTACTGGTAGTGGTCCTGCCCAGTCACTCTGGTTGAAGGATTCCCTCTTTCTCCAATTCGTCGATGATGTCCTGTCGGAGAGCCCAAAACCAACAACACCATGTAGGTAAATCTTGGGGACCGCTTTGTTGAAGGAACCGACGGCCCTGACGGTTGAAACCGGCACCCTTAAGCTTGCGGTGAGTGGGAGAGCTCAAGCCTTTGGGCTTCCATTTGCCTCGATAGATGCCAGAGGGTACTGTACACTCGTTTGTTTTGTTGGAGGGGCAGCTCCCCATGCTGCGAAAGAAGCTGCGCACCCCCCCGTGGAATTACACGCAGCATCAACACGCATCTACACCGCTCCCTCAGGTTTCCACGGCTTCCACGGCGGTGGTGGTGGAAACCGCCCGCCGGACACCGCCGGTCCTGCCGCTCTCGGAAGCCTCGGTCTGGCAGCTCGTGGATCTGCAAGCAGAGCCGCAGCTCCTTGGCCGTCATGGCGGCCACCGCCGTCCGGCTGGGCGCCAGGCAGCGCAGGATCCGATGCCTGCGGAAGCCGAAGCAGTCGCGGGCGGTCACCGTGGCCGAAAAAAGCGGGGACCAGAGCGGTGACCGAGATTTGGGATTTGGAGTACAGTAGTTGTTGGAGTCCGTGGATGTTTGAGTGTTTTAAAGGATTCAAACAGGTTCAAACTTCAAACCATCAAGTCGATCAACAAGACATGGAACAAACGGAACACAATCACCGGAGTGGATCACCATCTATCAGGAAGCACAGAGAGAAAATGTTCGATAGTCTTGAATTCATCAAGATCCACTCAGCTTCCAAACACCTCAACCTCTCTTTCACCACTGGTCACCACTCACCAACTGGTCACCCGCCTCTTTCTCAGTGATGTCAAGCGATCTTTCACGAAGGCGATATCGCTCTTCACCTCCTTCCGTTCACTCACCAGCTGCTTCGTCAGCTGCTCCACTTGGCCGCTGGTGGGATTCTCGAGGTATTCCAAGAGCTGCAGGTAGACACCACAGGCCTTCTGCACGAAGGCCTGACATCGTTCGGGGCTTCTGCGGAAGTATGCAAGTCTGGATCTCAAGAGCTCCCGAAACTTGACGAGCTCCCAGACTCTCTGTGCGAGCGACCAGAATCCTCTTTTGGGGAGGAGAAAAGACATGACCCCCACCGCGCGCGTGCCACCGGCTTCACAAGTGACGGGATCGACGGGCTTCATAGGCCTGAAAATCCGGAAAAATGCGGTATGAATTTGATAGACCTTTCTTCCACTCTCCCTGAAGTCATCGGAAGTGGATGGTGCCCCCTTGTTGGTAGAGGAAAAATAAAAAGTGGAACAAGAGTCATCCAAGGGGCCATCCACTGCCATGATGATTCCCAGGCAATGTAGAGCTCCTTACTTTGGAGAGAGTCTCCATCCGCCCAAGGCAGACCGCCCTCACCCACATCTCACCACCTGGACCGCCCATCTCGCCTCCGAATGGTGAGGGCGGTCCAGCGCTTCCAAGATCAGCTGGAGCTTCACCTGAGTGCTGGAGCTTCACCTCTGGGGGGAAGAAGGTCTCCTTTACCTGGTGATAGATCCCAGCCCTACTACTCTTTTCGTTACATGTGGCCATGAACTCTAAGGCCACCTTGGGATGTCTACCAAGCCCTTCGGGCACGGCCCTTAGGGCACGCGCAGCGGCACGACCCAGGCACCTCCAGGTCTTGGATCCTCTGCACCATCTGCACACAGCGCTGCAAATGCGGTTGTAGCTCGCTGGGCACCGGAAGGGAGCGCGCCGCCCACCTGCCCAGCATGCGCATCAGCTGGATCTCCTCGAGCTGCGCCATCTTCGGGAGGATGGAGACGAGATAGGCGTCCTGACGAGGGGCGACGAGGGGCGGGCGTCGTGGGAATTGAGGCTTTTTGGGCTCAGAGGTCCTGGCCGAAGGTGGTCTGCCCTTCAAACCAATAGATCTGAAGCTTGAAATCCCCTTTGAGCTTGGCAGCCTGCCCCCACTCTAATCTGACATTGATTGGGCCAGGCTCTTTTCGAAAGCTCCACTCTCTCCTCGTTGTTCGCAATCGCCTGCTCAGTGAGTTTGCAAAGCCAGGCCACTTCTGCCAGCAGCTGCTCCCCGGCGCACAGCAGGTCGTCCACCGGTGTGCCCGTACGCCCATCCGTCAATTCCAGCAGGGGTGGAGAGCTTCCTCCGGGGCTTCCAGACGGGCTGGAAGCATCGGGCACCGCGTCCAAAAGAGCATTCACCGTCTGAACCAACCAACGTCGACGTGCACGCTCTTCGCCCGCCAGCTGTAAGTTGTCGGCCGCCTAAGCTCATTAAGTTGTCCATGTGGTCCAATGGACCAGTGAGTTGTGATCTGGAGAATCTGGAGGCTTCCAAAGAATGGGATTCAAAAAATCGATCTCAAAGGAATCCTTCAAGTCACTAGCTAGCAGGATCTACCAGGAGAAGACATCGACTGCCTGGAAAAACTCCTCACACTGTTGGATCCATGATCGATCGGTTGCACCGACACATCCGGTGTCGTAACCGCACGTCGTAACCGTGTTTCTTTCTTGGAGGGTGTGTGGCACACGTTCAATGTACGAATGATACCATCACAAGACCAGAAAACTGCCTGGGTTGTTCAATGTGATCCTTTGAGCTCCAAACAAGGTCGAAAGAGGTACAAACGGGTGAAGACCCTCCAGTTCGGTCACAAACGGCTAAAGAAGCTGGTTTACCTGCGTACCTGGCGAACCAGGGGATGACTCTGGCATGACTCCCACGTACCTGGCAGTGGGTCGAATCTGGTTGACCACCGAACAGGAACCAAATCGATGACCGGCGAGGTCAACCCGTCAGGTCGGAGCTTGGGGTGCCCAGCCCGCCCAGTGCCAGGTGCCAGACGGCAGTGGCATCAGACTCACCGAGGAACTTGTAGGATCTTGGTCCCCTCGTCCTGCGCCAGCGGGGACTGTGTGTTCTTTTGGTTTTGGAAAGGATTTGAAGCGGTGAGAAAAGGAAGCGGTGCCGAGGGTGCAACCACTGTGATCACCAACCCACAAAACGACGCGGCGGAGTCATACAGGGACGAACGCAGAAAAGACGCGTCCACTGTGATAAAGAACCTATTGCTTAACCTCTGAAGATTCATGTTAAAACCTGCAACTTAAAAAACACCCAAAAGACACCCCAAAGACAAGTTTCCTCATGTTTGCCAGGTTCCATGCCAATCTTCCAGGTTACCAATTCTATGACTAATGGATTTCTCTACGTAATCTTAACAGAAATGTCACCAGACAGGTTGTCAATCTTCCATCTAGGTAGGTCCAAATCGATCGCCGGGTTTTTGGACGCCAAATCGTTGGTCCTCGGCTGCCAGCTTGGTCATTCGCTTCCCTCGGACCTCTTCCGAGAGCCTCTGCACCCGCTCTTCCAGCGCTGCCAGCGAACCATCTGCCATGATACGCGGAACCACCGGGTGGCTGGGCTGCGGGGGCTCTCAGGGTTGGGCTGCGAGAAGGAACGGCTCGCCGGCGTGGAGTCTGCATCTGGTGGGGAGGAGAGGAGCATGGGGAAATCCCAAAATCTTGAGCGAATTCCAACAATTCTTGTGTCGAAAACAAAACAAAACGGAAAGGAACGAACTTCTTAAGGTCTCCAAGGTCTCCACCTTAAAGAGATCTCCAAGCAAAACCTCTCTCCTCTCATGGACAGGTTCCACGACGTCTGGTGGATACAAAACGCGTTGGTTCGCCCGTGATCACCGTAGATTAATGGAGGTCCAAAGCCTTGAAGCTTAAAACCCTCGAGGGTTTTCGGAGTTTAAGATTGTTTTTAGTGCTTGTAAGGCGTTGAACACCGATCGGTTCCAACATCAGACCGATCGGTTGGGCCATTCTGAGCCCCGCATGTCAGCGCAGCAAGACACCAAGTGGGCGGATTGGTTAAGGGCTCCATGCAGCTTTTGATCGATGCAAGGTAAGTCGGCCCGTGTCTTCCCATGATCTCCCCAAAAATCACATGGCCTTTGGGCGAACCCTGGACCGATGTCTGCTGGATTGCGCCGGCCAACGTCTCCTTGTTCCTGCAACAAATGGACCATGGAAAACCTTCAGTCGATCGGGCACGGCCTGTTGGCCAGTCTGCGTCAGCAAGAGAAAACCAGGAGAACCTGCATGTTCCGCAAAAACTTTTGCCGACACTCGACTCTACAGGTGTGCTGGTTTTTGGGCTGTCTTTGCACTCTCTATAGTTGGCTGTCTACCTCTAGCTGGTCCATGTCAGGTCTCGAGTCTGCAGGATGCCTCCCGACTTCGCCATCGAAACTTCAGTCAGGTGAGCCTTCCAGGCGCTCAGTCTCCCAAAGTTCAAATTCCTTTGAGCATCTGGAGCAATGAAGGATGATGCGCAGGATCAAGATCGCATGAAATTCACCTGGAAATTCACACAGTGTTGCTCTTCCAAATGAAGTGCTTCAGCATCTCCAGCAAATCCAGCAATTGGCTGCGTCATATCACGGTAAAGGTTGATTAATCGCCCGCCACGCCCAGGTGTAAGGATGCCTTGGAGGAATAGATGGGCGGGTCATTTGACAGCCCTGAAGCTAGCAGCTATCTATCATCCACAACTGAACGTTGTTCCAAATCCACACGTCAAACTCCTTCATGACCCAGACTGAGCACCACCAAATGAGGGTCCCTACCTGCCCCCGAATGAAAGTATCCCGGCAAGAGAACCCACACAGTGTGTCTAAAAGTCTTAAGTCTAGAGGTGTAGAAGGTCTAGAGATCCAGACGTATTGGGTTCCGGCGGTGATGGTGGTGACTGGCCCTTTCTGCGAGGGGCGAGGCTCACCTCCCGGAGAGCCCCAGGCGCCCCAGAGGAAAGAAGGCTCACGAGCTATGTAATTCTTGAGGGTTGGGCGGCTGCTTTGGGTGAGGAAGAGTGGGCAAAAATACACTGCAGGCATTAGTTGGCCCGAACTGTTTCGGTCGAATGACATCTGTTGAATTCATCCAGCTACCTAACTCGAGATGACGCATCCGGGCACAGACCGGCTCACCAGGCACCTGGACACCCGGGCACGTATCGAAGACCTTACTCGAACTCTCAGTCATAAACCGGTCAGTTCTCCACCCCCAAAAGCGAGCGGTCAGGGTCAATAGCTCTTGTCCCCTTGGGCCTGCCACGAGTCCTGCACTTCAATGTCCACAAAGTTTTGCGCCTGCCACAAAACCTGCACATCAAGATTCATATCACCTAGCCTGCCAAGGCGATTCGCAGCAAGGTCACTTGCAAAGACAGCATACCACAACGCAGCACGATTCACTGCACCTGCCACGAAAGCTGCACATCGATGTAAAACGGGTCCTATCTCCTGCACTTGTAACCAAAAGTCCACTTTGTAACACCAAGCACGAGGTTTCACTTGCGCCATCTTGCGCCTAAAGTGATCACCAAGTACGAAAAAGCGCACATCATCACAACGAGAGCGCAGTCAAGGAAACACCCACTCGCGGCCAGCATATTCTGCGAGCCTGCACAGTCGAAACGTACTTCGATTATCTCGAGGTGAATGAGTAAGTGAGTGAGTGAGTGACTGACTTACTGACTGAATGAATGAATGAATGAACGAATGAATGAAGGAATGAAGGAATGAATGAAGGAATGAACGAATGAATTAGTATACTGTGAATTGAAGCGAATTAGCCGGACGCGCCGATGAGAAGCTCCGATCAGAACCTGGCCTTAACCCTTACCGTAAGAACCCGATAGTGTTAACATGTGTTAACACACTGCAGGGGAAAATCAAGCAAACACTCCTCGACGGTCCCTGGCCTCTATTCTTGCGCCCTTGGCCACCCGCACCGGCGCCAGCTTGGAGATGGCATCCAAACGCTGCGCCTCCGACGCCAATGCCATCAGCGCCAAGCGCAAGGAGGCAGCGCTGTCCAGCTCCAGCACCGGCGCAGGGTGAAGCTTCCTGGGAATGCTTTAGCAACTTTTTCCGGCCAAACCACAGAGCTTCGGAGTAAAACTTTGTTCAACATCGTTCAACATTCTACCTCACTTCGCTGTTATCTCCTTACACTCCGAAGTGTCATGGAGTCCAAGTGGCATGGCAGGGCCCCGGAAGTTCCGGGTCCTTCGTTGGTTTGGTCCAGATTCCATGGCTGGAAGAGCCAAGTCCCCGGTGCTCTTCACTCCACTTCCACCGTGGAGCGGATCGGTTCGACACACCGATCCAATCGGCCCCGAGCTGAAGGAGTCGCCCTCCAAACACGGAGGTCCGCTGGGCAACACCGGGGCGAAAGGTTCCAAACATCAAGGAGAACGAACTAAGCCACTAAGCATAGCTCATGCATCCAAAGAGAACTAAGCATATAGTCCAGAAGTGTTGACCCTTTGCCCTCAAGGTACGCCCAGATACGCCCAGCCCCCGGTGGAGAGACCCTGGAGACCCCAAAAAGGTCGGTCTTTCCACCTGAGTGGGGATTGATCCAGCATCGACCAAAATCACCCAACCAGTGACCTGTTCCAGGCCTTCCAGGCCTTCCACAAAGCAAGATATCAAGAAGAACCAGGGAAGGGTGTCAAATACATCCCGAGGTCTGGGAAACATGACCGAATCCTCCACTCCCGGCTTCAGTACCCCTCAGCCCTCGGCGATAGACATGTCCAGGCTGTTGGAGACGTATCGCGGATTCCGTGGCTTGAGTGAGTAGATAGCACAAGGGCACCCCAAGTTTGCTGGTTTAGTAGTGGACCTCCATCTGAAAGACATCTTGGGGTGCCAGTGCACGGTTTTTGTGAGGCTTTGATTCTGTTCGTCCAGAGACTCGGCGAGTGTCTTCGAATTGTCTTCTAAGGTCGGAAGGATCCCCCAAGGGTTGGAAGGGTCCCCGAACAACCGTGGTTCCTGCGTCCTCTGCCGCCTCAACTTGTGTCTGTGTTGGCACTTGAAAAAAATAGCGCCCAAGTTCTACCTCTATGTGCAGGGTGAGGTCCTAAAAATGGGGTGCAAACATGTGCAAACTCTAGAACCCTCAAAAATCAAACACTCAGAACAGAGCAAAGAAACAAAAAAGAAAGAGACCCGTTCTTGCTGTCATCTTATTATTGTTTGGTGTTCTTCTTCTTACGGTCATCTTCAGAACAGTTCTTCAAGGATGATGAAACCTTCGCGCGCCACACGGCGGGCGAGCGACAGCCGTGCGATCTGTTCAGAGGTCAGCGTCAAGAAGACATATACGTCAGGCTTCATGGCCACCTACGATGGCCACCTCACATCCCGGAAAAATGACATCAGATTCATAAGGTCATATAAGGCTGTATAATGCTGTATACCAGGACCCTCTAAGGGGTGCCCAATGGAAGCCTATAGGTAGTGTGGAGTAGTCCATTGGACATCCCTTGGAGGGTCCTGGTAGGATCAAATCCCCCCAAAAAAACGTTCTTCGACTCGGTGTTCTTTTTGTTCCCAAGCACTCGGACCCCGCTAAACCCCTCCGCGTCTCGCCGAGAGCTGCGCGACCGCGCGCGCCGGGACCGCTTCGTGGCTGCAGCGCTCGGCTCCGCAACGGCAAGGGCCGGGCAGCGAGGCCTCGGCCGTGGGGTCCAAAGGATTTGAGGCACCAAACGACCATCATTAGAGTCTTCCTCCAAGAAACGAAACAGCAACGACCATGGGAGAACGCACCAACGTCCATCCTTTGTCTTCCTGTCTTCCGGAAAAATCGTCCATTTGGACTGAAACAGAGCTTCAGAATCGTCCATTGAGTCGAGTCTTCCTTCCATTCCCAGCAGCTAGCACCAACGGCACATGCGCGAAGCGACCCCAGCGGCGCTGCACGGTGTGGTCGTATTCGCGCAGTCCGTAGCCCAAGGGCCTTTGATGGTCGACCAGTCGAAAGCACTCCTTGCGTCGAGCCTCCTGTGGCGTGCGAAGGGAGCCGAAGGCGCTGAGGTGAGCTGCTGAGGTGAGCTGAAGACTCTTTGGTTGCGGGTCGACCCACAGTGTTCTGATGGGAGTTGCGCCATCTTTGGATTATAAATCGAGTTCCAAAAAATGCTGAAAACCATGCACATCTATCATTATTATGTATTTGGTGAAGGTCAGTACTGGCCTGCAGTTGCCCCAGTCGATGGCAGATGTAGCCAAAGGAGCAAGCGCAAGAGGTACAGTAGTAGAAGAAATACGCATCGTATTGAGCCAGCTGGTCCTTTGATGCAAGTCCTCAATCAAAGCCTCTATCTATTTGAGGATCGCTGCAGGGTCAATCAAACTCAGCTCAATGAAACATGGACCATCATAGACCGAAGCATCGACTGATACATGGGACCATCATGGACCCATTGCCTCCAAGTGTCTGACTCACACTCCAACCAGCGTTCTCTATGCCACGCCCCGCTTTCGAAGGGATTGGGCTCCGGCCGGTCTCTAAGCCCTTGCCAATCAAAGAGGGTGAAGCGCATTAGGCATCGGCCTGCAAGGCTCAGCGGCGAATCCAGTTGGAATGTACTGGAAGCTCTTTCAAACAACAGGGGTTTTCTCTGATAGGTCAACCCGATCGTTTTCATCTCGTTGGACAAAAGCGATATGCCAAAAAGCTCTGGGTTCAAAACAGGCTCCCCCC